GAGTTTTAAAAAATGCTGTAGAACTATTTCTTCCATCTTAACAAATAAATTTCAATGACAGTATAGAATAGAAAATATTTTCAAAAAGTCTAATATTACAGATGGTAAATAAAAGCATAACAAATGATAACTAATAACAACTAATGGACTAAGAGAATCAAAACTGCATAAAATACAAAATTGCAACACGTCGACATACCAAAGCAGCTTCTCTGTCTTGTACTCTCTTCCATGCCTTGACAGGATCAGAATCAAAGCCCTTGCGTTGGAGTTCGGCAATCATGTCTTTTTTCTTTTTTTACCGTCAGTAAAAGGCACTTCCACAATGTCTTATTTGGAATCAGCTTCACAAAAAAAATGCACAATAACTATTATAAGAGTGAAAATACAAAATGACAATTCCCCAGAGCCAATCCCATCCTAGCTTATCCACGCCAGAAATCAATCCCACAGAGTACTTAGTTCTCACCTTCTTCACTTTCTTGGTTCCTTGGCTGCTCTTTTTGTTGGCTGCTTCCTCACTCTCGCGCTCCTCTTTTTCTACTTCATCAAGCTGTGGGCGAGGGATACAATGCGAGTTACATTGATGACTACAGGTATTCAGTCATTTTGGAGGATCTCTCTCTCAACATAATAACAAATATTTATTATCTACATATCATTAACCCATTGAATGTGGATAGTATGATTATAAGCCATGTCCAATGTAATATTAGCCTAGTGTGTTAGATTCCTTGGTGGCTACTTGTGGAGTCGTCTGTGTACAACAAAATTCACAAGACTAACAGTGAACAGTTCATAACCCAACAACCACTGGTGAAGGTTATTGCTTATCATAAATCAGAGAAAATAGTACAAAATAGTACTTTATATCCGAATTTTGTGCCTTAGTCCAAGCACACCCGTGAAACTATCACAAATTTAGAAGATATTTACAACTAATAATATCAGCTACTGCTTTGAGAACTCATTACTTATTCTACTAAGAACTTCCATAGGGCAGGTATTACAACACTTTACCTTATTAAGGAACTCGTCAAGATCGTTCAACCATAGGTTTTCTGGGGTCTTCTTCTTGAGGACTTCTAACTCTTGATTCTTCTCATCTCGTTTTTTGAGAAGCTCATCTTTCCTTTCCTTGGTAAGGCTCCACATTGCCATACCAAGCAAATAGTCATAGTCAGGGCCCTTCAAATCCACTTCTTCCTGATCAGACTCAGACTGCAGCTCCTCTTCCTCCTACAAGAGTTTTAAAAAATGCTGTAGAACTATTTCTCCATCTTTATATCTACAAGCCTACACTGATCTGCTTATGTGCTCATTCAAATATTTCCCAAATAAATTTCAATGACAGTATAGAATAGCAAATATTTTCAAAAAGTCTAATATTACAGATGGTAAATAAAAGCATAACAAATGATAACTAATAACAACTAATGGACTAAGAGAATCAAAACTGCATAAAATACAAAATTGCAACACGTCGACATACCAAAGCAGCTTCTCTGTCTTGTACTCTCTTCCATGCCTTGACAGGATCAGAATCAAAGCCCTTGCGTTGGAGTTCGGCAATCATGTCTTTTTTCTTTTTGTTCTCAATCACTAGACGTCCGTCACACTTCTCTAGGATGAACCTTGCCTAAAATAAATAAAGATTTAGACAGATATCTTACATTAATTATTTTTTAATAAAAAAAAATTGGAATAAATAGTAGTAAAAACAAAGGTAAAAAAGTTCTTGAGTGACCAAACTAACGAAACAAATCCCTACCACTCTCTTAAAACTTGGAAGTTTCCAATTGTTTCACAAGTTTCCATACAGCAATGTAAAAAAGAAAAACACTAACCTGGTTGGACAGCTTGGATGCTTCAGCTTGAATCATGCCTACCAAATACTGCTTTCTCTTGCTGTAATACTTGAGGCGCAGATCAAAGAACTCACGGAGGATTTCTTCTACAGCCTCAAATTTCCGTAGAACACCATTGTGGTCAAACAACACCTATCAAAACAAACATTAATGAATGCATGACAAAAGTGCAATTTATGTCCATCTCTTGGTCAAAAGCCAATGACCACAGCACACTTCTCAAATTGACAATACCTCATGTAATAAATTACACAAAGAATTTAATAAAATAATACACACAATTCTAGAACTTCCTCAGAAAGTACTCTAAATGTAGGCTCATGAGAGTCATATAATCAATCTTTCAAACCAACATTTACTATCATTAAATCCTACTGTTAATTTTGTATCACTAACAATCATCACATGATAATGAAACTTATGTCAGTGTGTATAATTTAAGTAATATATATGATCTGCCATTTCAAACCAAACACATTTCCATGAAATAAATCCAGTCATCACATACCATGGAGTTTGTGGAGAGAGAAGATGTAAGTTTAAAGGTTTTGTGGAGGCCTTCTTCCATGGCCTTGCTTAACTTGGCTTCTGATATGGTCACTGTGAAGCGTACTGTCGTGTCAGTGTGATATTCCTTGTAGTCACTGAAATTAAAAAAAAAAAAAAAAATGGTTAGGTAAATCAAATCCTTTTCAAACTAAGAAAAAATCTCCATGAAGTCAGTCTATAACTTCACATTGCAAGTATTCAGTTTCACATGAATTTAACTTACGTAATCATGGCTGGAGATTTCTCTGAACTGGCAAGCATACCCTCCAGGACGGTCTCTTTGTATGCTTGGGTCCAAACTCTGATTGGCAGTTCAGTGATTTCTATTTTGTTGCCACCCAAATTTGCAACTTCTCCATGCACAATACATCTTTGAGAATCAAGTTCTTCAACTGTGCCTCGGAAATCCTTGAACCATGGTATCTAAAATAAAATTTACATTATCAAGTTTAATATAAATGTAAGAATACTATAATATAAACGTAAGAATACTAAACCACAAACAAAATACAAGTATTACAATAATGAAAGCAACCAAACTAATTACCATTCGAGTTGGCTCTTCCCCTCTCAACATTCTTTTGAGATTTTCTACAATTTCTCGAGGATTGTAGTTGTGAATCCTGGTACTCCAACCTGTACCAATACCTTCTGCACCGTTGACCAACACCATGGGAAGGATCGGCATGTACCACTCTGGCTCAATACGCTGGTTGTCATCAAAGTTGCTCTTTAACAGGGGGTCATCATGAGGATGGAATATGTACCTGGCTAGTTTGCTGTGGGTGAAGAATAAATATACCTTTAGTGTGAACAGTCAGGATTCATATTATTCATGTAATATGAATACAGACCTCAAGTGATCAGACTTGCACTTCGTCATCAAAATATTGTTCATTTGGAGAAAAATTAAAGGTAATAGCACTTGTCATCTTAAAAAATAAAAGCATATATCATGTATCAACTGTGTGATACTTTGTAAAAATAAATTAGCAAATTAATGAAAAAATTTACAGTTGTGTGCATTCAGAATCAAGTAAATGTTTTACAATCAAAATTCTGTACCTCAACATTGTGAAGATGTATCGAGGGCTGGCATGATCCTTGCCTCCCTGCAGTCTAGTACCAAACTGACCAATGGGCTGGAGTAAGTTGATATTGTTTGACCCAATATAATTTTGAGCCAAGTTAATAATTGTTGACATGAGAGATGCTTCACCGTGATGGTATGCTGAATGTTCTGCAACTGAGCCAGCCAATTGAGCTACTTTTACCTCACGTTTGTCATTTCGTTTTAAACAAGTGAAGAGGACCTGTAAATAAAAGTTAGTGCTTTATTGTCTTTGTTTTCTTATATCAGTTTTTTAAAGAAATATGATGAAAAGGATCATGAGATCTGATGCAGCACACGTGCATCTAAGAGGTACAATGAGGAGCAGGATATTTTTAGTAAGTACGTAGACCTGGAGAAGGCCAAGGCAAATTGTATAGAGAATATCTAAGAGTAACATCACCCAAAAGTACATGTCTGGCACCTATTCTAACCATTTTCTTTTGGTTAGATGGAACACTAAAAGGGGGAGCAATGTGAAGATGTGAAGAACTTAAACCATCATTAGCCATCATGCCTATTTACTAAAGTCAGGATGGAAAGAGTAGCAGACTTAAGAAAGCAGAGCAAGCTAATTGTGCCCTTTAAATCTCTAGGTGGAGAGATGAATATAAGCAGTTACGAGTTCAATGTGGGGAAACTGTAGCCAAAGTATGGAAAATAGGTAAATAATTACTAAATAAATACTTAAAACTTTAAATAATTTCAAGATCATGACTTATAAATTAACTATCCTATGAGAAAAAAAATTTCCTTCCACAAAATTATAAACAAATTCAGAAGAATCTCAACTTATCAACAAACCTTTCTCTGACCAGGCTTTAGACCATCAACCATGCATGGAATGGATCGCTCATTATCAAGGTTGGAGAAGAGAACCAACTCCTTGTTGACAAAGTCAGTGTATGAGATAGCTCTGGTGTCACGCTCGTACAAATACACTTCCGGTAGACCCAGTTCCTTCCGGCGTTTACACTCCTCCATCCACCCTGTCAACCACTCCTTACGCTGTTCAATGGCTTTTTTACTGAAGGCCTGCAAACCAAAATTAAAGATATAATATAAAGATATTAAACACATTAGAGCATAAAAATTATGGGAATAATCAATCATCAAAGTAATTGCAGCAATAAGAACAATATAAATACTCAAACTATGATACCAACTGTATTTAGATTCTTATTCAACCCTATCACAATGGGAGCCCCCAGTGTCATATCAAACAACGTAGGGTTAGCAGCTCAAGGGAACAGTCAGAAGTGAGGGGTGCTCTAGCAAGACATGATAGGACAACACTTTGTCATGAATGGGTTAAGAATACAAAATGACTAGTACAATACTTACCATCTGAATGGAGTGGTCATCTTGTGCCCCACCATAGTTGAAGCGGATTCTATGTCGCACCATATCATTAAAGTACTCCTTAGCCTCCTTTGAGGTGGAAGTACCCAAACCTATAAGGAAAGAAAATGATCAAGTACTCACAAAGAACAAACAAATACAAGTCTCTCAAACTTCCCTTCAACTTCTTATAAAAGTAATCGCAACTTTACAACACACTAAATAGAAGAGTAGGACAGTATGTTCTCTGTTTCTCAAACACCTCTAAACCAAAAAATAAATACCTTTGTAGTACTTTATCTTGTAACTAGGCCAGTTATCTTTGTTCTTCTTCCATTCCTCAAATTCGGGTAAAGAGTAGAAGGACAGTTCTTCCTTGCCCTTTGTGGCCTTGACAATGGGAGTAATGAACTCCTCCATGAAAGTGTGTCTGAGAAGGGTGGGCCAGTTGTGGTGGATGAAGTTGATCAACAGGCCTTTGATGTGAGAACCGTCCTGGAGAGAGGGGATTTAATATTTCCATGAATGTCTTTTCTCCCTCCCTTTATGAAACTGGCTTGATAATTAAATTTACTTAACATCTTTTATTCATTAACCCTTTGCCACTGGGCGGCATGTATGTACATGCCATGGTATGCCTTGACTATATTCTGGGGTAACATGTGCATACATGTGATGGTGCACCACCAGTCCCGTTTTCCAGGGGCATGTATGGTCACGCTGCACATTGCTATGGTGCTAACACACTCCCCCTGGCAGCGGGAGCCAGGGCCACTATGAATACAGCCCAGGAGAGAGGGCATTTCATACCAGGAAACCACCCAGTGGCATTGGGTTAATAGCAATTTTTTTTTTTATTTCACCAATAAAGATTTATAGGACTATTTACATAGATTATAATATTCTAAGGGAGATAAGTCAATTGGTATTAACACAACCTTAATGTACCAATGAAGTCAATTTGAATATAACCAATTTCTTCAAGTTAAATGATGCTTCTCGTACATTCAGCAATTTACCTGAAAAGAAGAAAAAAATATGCTAACTCACAATGCAAGAGCAATAAGTGACTTTCAATTTTGATACTCCAAGGCATATAATTCAAATAGTCTTTGAAAAATACACTTAAGGGGACCACCCCAGCTGAGGCCTACCTTTCTCCAGTCATTTGATCATAAAGAGATAACAGTTTTAGATAACTAGTAAATTTTTTTTTTGCATGTTATAGAGTATATAATCATTTTAATGCTGCCTCTACATGGGTAGCATAAGCCAAAGAAAACACTTTTTAAATAGATTTTTTATAACTGTCCTTGGTACCGTCAACAGGTTGTATTCCTTCCGCAAAATACCTTAAAAATCTTCATTTAGATCAACCCTATGCGGAGGAGATGTCAGATCCTGATTTTTTATTTCCATGAATGTCTTTTCTCCCTCCCTTTATGAAACTGGCTTGATAATTAAATTTACTTAACATCCTTTATTCATTAACCCTTTGCCACTGGGCGGCATGTATGTACATGCCATGGTATGCCTTGACTATATTCTGGGGTAACATGTGCATACATGTGATGGTGCACCACCAGTCCCGTTTTCCAGGGGCATGTATGGTCACGCTGCACATGCTATGGTGCTAACACAATCCCCTGGCAGCGGGAGCCAGGCCACTATGAATACAGCCCAGGAGAGAGGGCTTTCATACCAGGAAACCACCCAGTGGCATTGGGTTAATAGCAATTTTTTTTTTTATTTCACCAATAAAGATTTATAGACATATTTACATAGATTATAATATTCTAAGGAGGATAAGTCAATTGGTATTAACACAACCTTAATGTACAATGAAGTCAAATTTGAATATAACAATTTCTTCAAGTAAAGACTTGCAACAACATGAGATCCCTAAGTTTTCCTAATGAGCATTCTCCCACCTGATCCTGATCTGTCATGATCATGAGCTTGCCATAGCGGAGACTCTTCAGGTCATCGGAGGACTCATACTTCTTCTTGTACTGTAGTCCCAAGATTTTAATAATGTTGTTAATTTCAGCATTTTCTAAGATTTTGTTGTGTGATGCTTCTCGTACATTCAGCAATTTACCTGAAAAGAAGAAAAAAATATGCTAACTCACAATGCAAGAGCAATAAGTGACTTTCAATTTTGATACTCCAAGGCATATAATTCAAATAGTCTTTGAAAAATACACTTAAGGGGACCACCCCAGCTGAGGCCTACCTTTCTCCAGTCATTTGATCATAAAGAGATAACAGTTTTAGATAACTAGTAAATTTTTTTTTTGCATGTTATAGAGTATATAATCATTTTAACGCTGCCTCTACATGGGTAGCATAAGCCAAAGAAAACACTTTTTAAATAGATTTTTTATAACTGTCCTTGGTACCGTCAACAGGTTGTATTCCTTCCGCAAAATACCTTAAAAATCTTCATTTAGATCAACCCTATGCGGAGGAGATGTCAGATCCTGATTTTTTATTTCCATTAATTTTTTGGGGGGTATGACTGTTTGCCATTGTGAACTATTTATGTGTATTTTTTTCAGTTTTATGCAACATATATTTCATTGTAATTTTCAAAATTCAAAAACTGTAATTCAACATCCCTTGCACATTCTGATACCACTGCAAACTGATTTCAAGGTGAAAGAAAATTAAGGACGTTGGATGGTACAGCAGCTTATGTAAACAAAGCTCTGAGAACAGGCCATTGGAAATATGGATACCTGCCAAAGTTCGTTATCTCTAATAATTTTTGGGTAAATCTAATGACTATCACAAAAAAAAAAGTTATAGTTTTTAATATGGACCATGTTTTGTAAAGATACCTTTTTGTTTGTTCAGATATGAAAGTTAATATTCCTGTCTGAAACATTTAATAAATGCATCTATTATAAAGAAAACCAATCTAAACCAGATTTTTTTTTAAATGAAGAAATGGAGAACTGTGGATGGCAATATATTACAAAATTATTGTATTCATATAACCATAGCATGAATACAACATATCAGTCCAATTTTGAGAATTATAAAAACACATGTAAAATAAGTGGAGTGCAAGAATTATCAAAGCTGTTGAATTTTTCCCACACTCTAAACGAGGGGGGAAGGGGATGCTAATCAATGGTTGATTATAATTTTTGAGGATTATATGTATGTAAATACATGCACATGAGGTTAACCATTTTAATGATCCTCATTTAAAAGGAATAAACCCATTTTTGCGTAAAGGAAAAATCATTATTAAAGTACAGATCACACTAATAAAGTCACCTCACCTCTAAGCGGGAAAACCCCGTATCTGTCTCTTCCAACCACACCAAGTCCAGCAACAGCTAAGGCTTTAGCTGAGTCTCCCTCAGTGAGGATGAGAGTGCAGTCAGATGAGAATTTTGTTCCAGCATCATTAGCATCCTCTAGTTTGGGAATACCTGTGAAGACAAAGAATATATAATAAAATTCTGGGATATCATCCACTCTGCAACTTCCTCATGCACTGACATTATCACATAGTGAAAGTTATAATAAACTTCATAACCAAGATCCACAATCACATTTTCATGAGGTTAGGGAGGTTTAACTTTAGACTGAAAAAAAAAAGTACATGGAGGTGGAGCAAAAGATTCTAGTACCATATCTATATGTAAGCAATATAAACAAAATGCATATTTCAACACGTCCTAATTCACCTTTCAGTTTGTTTTGCTTCCTGTTGGCACATTTGGACTGTAGCTGTGCTTGCTGCTTAAATCTTGCCCACGTCATGACTGCCTCCACAATGCCGCACTTCATTACATTGTTTATGAATTTGTCTGACAAACTACACTTGGATCCAAAACTTTTGGCTTGGAGAGTCATGTTCTCTTTTGTCTGGGAGTCGAAGGTGGGGTTCACAATCAAACAATTTACGAAGATCCACATGTGGTTCTTAATCTGAAAGAATACATTATTGTTCTATTAGTTAAATCTGTAAGATGTCTTTCTAAAATGTAAATATGTGAAATGATAAATAATGTAGAATAAGAAAAAAATGTTAAAAAAAAAAATTGTAAATAATAAAATAAGATGGTCTCACTCTCCTTAACAGCATTTATGGTCTCTATATTACTTTCACGGTATATCCATTTATTCAATTTGACTTATCTACGTTAATCGTTCAGTGACAATATCAGAAATCTCTAGGCATCATAGACTCCAGTGATTTCTGGCAACTGTCCAGCCACTGGGAGCAGGAGTCCACTACATGTAGCAGAACTTCCCACTTGACATGCTCTAGCACATCACCACACATATAGCCATTCCAGGCAGATCAAGATCAAGTGGTTTGTTATGATGGCTATAAACATGACCCAGCAGTAATGGGTTAATGTACCATCTGGAAAACAACCTAGAAATACCAAACAAATAAGAATCTGTTATAGGTTTTCCAGCATTACATACCTGGAATGGTTTAATCTGCACACCACTCTTGTTCTTCTTCTTGAGTGTTTCGGTAAGGTTTTTCACAATCATGTCTGTCACGTAGTCAATGTGACGTCCTCCCTAGAATAACATGAAACATTAGCCTAAACAGTAACAAATACTTATGACAGATATCTTTGAATGTTTAATATAATTATCTGTCTGCACTAAAAATCAATAAAAAGGAAAATATGAATTGTCTGACAGCAATATACATACCTTAGTAGTGGCTATGCTGTTTACAAAGGACATCTGCTGGAATCCTTTGTCAGAGAGAGCCACTGCCACCTCCCACCGCTCATTAACATTCTCATACACAGCTTTCACTGGGTTATCAGCATCATCCACTTTGTCTTTCAGGTACAAATCAACATAATCCTTGAAGTTTTTCACCTATTAGAAGAAGAAGAAGGAATTTCAATTCACAATAAACAGTACAACACAATACAACCAAAGTCTAAAATAGAGAACCATAAATCATTGACAGATATATCAAAAATACAGCACAAGAAAAGGGGAAGGCCTGGCTTGTATTCTTACCGGGACACGTTTGCCATTCAGATACACTTTGACCCCTTTAGTTGAAGCTGCAATATCATAAGCTCTCCTGGACATTAGAGAAACAATGTCCTTATCTAAGGACTCCATCTTAAACTTAATAAGATCTGGAGAGAATGTGATCTTTGTGTAGTCTTCACCGCCGTATTCTTTGATCTTTGCATCACTTGTCTTGCTCATGTTTGTTCCCCAGGTCTGAAAGATGAAAGTATTAATAATAATAAAAATGACTCTGGAATCTTATCTACAATACCAAAATAAACCTTATTACCACTTCATATAGGCAATTAAACACACAATTTTACCTGCTTGAAATTCTTCTTGTATTCTTTAGAGGCAGTTTCTACAACAAATTTGTTACTGAAGATGTTGCAAAGCTTGGCACCATAACCATTTCGACCTCCAGTAACCTTCTGTTCATCATCATTATAGTTTGAAGAAGTAAGGAGGTGACCAAAGATCATGGTGGGCACATACATCTTTTCGTCCTTGTGCATGGCTACTGGGATACCCTTTCCATTGTTGTACACTGATATTACATTATTCTCCCTATAAGATATTGTTAGAAATGATTAATTATATTCATATACTTAGTAAATAAATAGGGACTATACACACCAAAGTAAAATAAATAAATAAAAATTAAAACAAAATATAAGCAAGAAACAGTTGTTCTCCATGATCAATTCACTCCACTTATAAAAATTTTAATGAAAACAATGTCGTCTTTTCAATATACTTACGGGTCAATCTCAACCTTGATTGTGTCCATCCCAGGGTCTCTTTGCTTGTTGTCAGCAGCATTGACTAAGATTTCATCAAAAATCTTATAAAGACCTGGGACAAATGAAATCTCTTTCTGCACAATCCTGTCCGTCTCAGTGTCAAAAATCCACATCTGTTCTGTTGTGAATTCCACAGAACCTGAAAAATGAAATTTTATAAACTTAGCTGTCCTTATATCAATATACAAAAAACTAAAGATTTATTAACCCAATGCTACCAGGGAAAAATTAATAAAAAATGGGGAAAATATTGTGCTCATTTATATTTTTTTGTGAAATGTCTCTTCACATAGATGGCTCTGCTAGTGCTTAGCCACAAAGGAGTCAATTAGTAAACCTTGTGACCTTACCCAATTTCATCTTTCATTGAATTGACAGGAAAAATTTATTTTTACTAGAGCTACGAATATCGATGGTGTTATTTTTATTAAAACATTATAATTACTATGATGTTATAAACATTAGTAACAGCAAAATAAGATAACGTAAAATATTTTCGTAAATCAAAGAAAAGTGTAAACTGGCAAGACAGGCAGTACTCGTAATTGGCTCATTGGTGACTTAGTACAAGTGTAGCCATCTATGGGTAAAAATAATAAACAAGTAAACTCACAGTGGGCATGGCATACACGTACACATCATGCCCCTCGACATTTAGTTAACCCAATGACTATGGGTTTATATACTGTCCCCTGTGGTTTTTGTGAATTTTGTTAAGCATAGATGGCTCCACAGCATAGATGGCTTGGACAGCTAGGAGGCTATTAATAGGCCCTAGTGACTGCTCCTGATTTCCCCATTCCTTGAATTTACAGGAAAAATGTTTCTCTCAAATACTATTAATACTGATATTTTTATTGATATTATGATTATTAATTTGTTATCAAAATTGAATAACATTAAGACAATAAAATAAAACACAAAGCTTTAAAAAAATCAAGGAAAAGGGTAAACAGGTGAGATAGGTAAGACTAAAAACTGACTCCTTTTTGATTAAGCCCTTATAGAGCCATCTATGTGAAAAGAAAACACTTATAATAGTAGGCATGGTATTACAGTTTTGCCATCTGTGCCCGCTGGGTTAAAGAAATGTAAAAATCATTGACCAGAAAAAAATTAACATCTTTCATAGTGACATCTTACAAAGATAGATCAGTCATTCAACACTCTTGCACAAGTCCTCCTATTTCAACTTGAGAAATGCAATGTGCATTTATAAATCAGTAAGAAAACAGGGGATTCCTCTAGGGGAGCTGTATTTCTATTTCTGTGTAACTGATGGAATCACAACAAAGGAGGGCATAAATAACTTTAAAAATTCTAGTTAGGTAAATTCTACTTATAGCAGGCACTATCACTAACTAATATTGCATTCCTTATTCATTACAGTTATGTAAAATAATTTGAAGATACCACTGCTTAATGTTTATGTAACTTATGAAACAATAATTAAAATGGCATATAGGGACTGGCCCTTGGAGAAAAAAAAATCTTTTATTATTCAATTAACAAGAGCATGGTCAAATAATGAGAAGTTTAATAATAATGTGACTAACACATACTCAATTAAAAAACTAAGAACAAATCAATAATTTTCTTTAAAATCTGGATGCAAGAGGGTCATGGAAGGAAGGACAAAGCCCTACAGGGGGTGTGGTAATAAAAAGGTTAAGAACCACGGATTTAGATACACTTAAGACCCTAAATAACTTACCAATGTAGGTGTCTGGACGGAGCAGGATGTGCTCGAGCTGAGTCTTCTTTTGGTAGACTGTCTCCACTGACTTGGGCCCCTTCTTGGCAGCCTGTTGGGCCACCATTGCAGGGGCTGGTATGTTGTTGGGGACATCCTGAAATTCACAGGAAACAGTTAGTTTTAAAAGTTTACTTGAAGATCTCTGCAAAAATTATTTACTATATTACTTCAGAAAATTATTTCATACAATTATTTCTTTGAAGTTCTTTGCATAAAATAATTTAATTTGTACTATAGTCCTAAAACACTTTTATATATAAGGTTTAGACAAAAAAGACTAAAATAAAACTAGCAAAATCAGTATCTCTGAATCACTCGGTAAAACGGTTTACATGATAAAACAACATGAGTAAGAAAATAGTAGCTACACCATTAAGTTCAATACCATGACAATAAATCAATATGAGAGTCACCTGCTCAAAATCATTAAAAAACAGGGGATTCCTATAGGGGAGCTGTATTTCTATTTCTGTTAACTGATGGAATCACAACAAAGGAGGGCATAAATAACTTAAAAATTCTGGTTAGGTAAATTCTACTTATAGCAGGCACTATCACTAACTAATATTGCTTCCTTATTCATTACAGTTATGTAAAATAATTTGAAGATACTACTGCTTAATGTTTATGTAACTTATGAAACAATAATTAAAATGGCATATAGGGACTGGCCCTTGGAGAAAAAAAAAATCTTTTATTATTCAATTAACAAGAGCATGGTCAAATAATGAGAAGTTTAATAATAATGTGACTAACACATACTCAATTAAAAAACTAAGAACAAATCAATAATTTTCTTTAAAATCTGGATGCAAGAGGGTCATGGAAGGAAGGAAAAAGTCCTACAGGGGGTGTGGTAGTAAAAAGGTTAAGAACCACGGATTTAGATACACTTAAGACCCTAAATAACTTACCAATGTAGGTGTCTGGACGGAGCAGGATGTGCTCGAGCTGAGTCTTCTTTTGGTAGACTGTCTCCACTGACTTGGGCCCCTTCTTGGCAGCCTGTTGGGCCACCATTGCAGGGGCTGGTATGTTGTTGGGGACATCCTGAAATTCACAGGAAACAGTTAGTTTTTAAAAGTTTACTTGAAGATCTCTGCAAAAATTATTTACTATATTACTTCAGAAAATTATTTCATACAATTATTTCTTTGAAGTTCTTTGCATAAAATAATTTAATTTGTACTATAGTCCTAAAACACTTTTATATATAAGGTTTAGACAAAAAAGACTAAAATAAAACTAGCAAAATCAGTATCTCTGAATCACTCAGTAAAACGGTTTACATGATAAAACAACATGAGTAAGAAAATAGTAGCTACACCATTAAGTTCAATACCATGACAATAAATCAATATGAGAGTCACCTGCTCAATTCCTTTCTTGCAAAGTAACAGTTACATCATGAATTTCAAACAACAGACGTAACATCAGTCAATGTATTCCCAAAGCCACTCTATATATCTGTATTACATGAAATTATATTATTTCTTTAAAAAGTACCGAATGAACAGAAAGAAAGCAATACTTACGAGCACAAAATATATTTCAAAAATCAAAAAGCAAATTCTAAATTTAAAACAATTCTAGCATTCCTTTCTTTCTATCCTACACCAAAAAATATCTATAGATAGGTACAAACTTACAAATGCATGTGCATTTATGTATGTTTGTATGTGTGTGTTTTTATACATACACTTATAAATATTTATACATAAATATATATACATATTTATCACATGTTTATATATACATATCTATATACATAAATAAATGTATATAATATATTTACATATATATATATATATATATATATATATATATATATATATATATATATATATATATATATATATATATATATATATATATATAATTCATATATATACATAAATAAATATATATACATACATAAACACGTATATAAATATATATATATATATATATATATATATATATATATATATATATATATATATATATATATATATATATATATACATACATATATATACAAATATATAAATAAACATATATATAAAAATATATAAATAAACATATATATAAAAATATATAAATAAACATATATATAAAAATATATAAATAAACATATAAATAAACATATAAATAAACATATATATAAAAATATATAAATAAACATATATATAAAAATATATAAATAAACATATATATAAAAATATATAAATAAACATATATATAAAAATATATAAATAAACATATATATAAAAATGTAAACATATATATAAATCTATAAACATATACATATATAAACATATATAAAAATATATATAAATATATAAACATATATAAACATATATACATACATAAACATATATAAACATATTTATACATATATACATATATAAACATATATACATATATAAACATATATATACATATACACGTATACATATATAAACATACACATATATAAACATATATGCATGCATATATAGACATATCTACACATATAAATATACATACGTATATATATACAAATACACACATAAACATATATCTAAACATACATAT